AAATGAAACACTCAATACTATTCTTGTTCCTAAATCAGCCTCCCAACTTATTGCTTTCCAAATAATGCTGGGCAGTAATTCATATTTCTTTTATCATTCACAACCAACTCTTCTGAATTGACTCCTAAAGGGGAAACAGTAGTATATTATTGAACAGCTTCATTTCATTGTGCAGATTCTTGGATATATAAAGTATCATAAAATTATATTTATTGCATTATATTCCTTTTTGCAAGTGCATAAGATGACAGATCTTGAAACTGAAATATGAGGATAATTCTAACTGCAAAACTCTGTCCTAAAAGTTGTTTATCCCTGCTCTTACTTATGTCAGAATCCAATTATACTTCATCCCTAGTTATCAATTATAGAAAACCCCATTTCTGCCCTCTCTGGATTCTGTCATAAAGAAAGAGAGGGGGGTGAACAAAGGGGCTTTATGGACCTCACTTCCTTCGGTACAACTTCAAAGGGTTTGAATGTGGATAGCACCAAAAGGCCTTATCATAACAAAGGAGGCTATTTACCTTTCATGTAGTTTATCTGAAGTCTCCATCCAGCCAGCAGAAAGGAAAAAAGGGGTGGGATTGTGATACCTGAAACTGTCACTGGAAGAGGGGGGTGATTGGGTGGGGCTACTGGGGAACCCCTTAAAACCTTGAATGGGAGAGCTTGGACCCCAAGTCCTGTCTAGAATGCCTGCAACTATTTTCTCTTAATAAAGGATTCCTGTTGGAAGAATTATTCCAAGAGTTCTGTCTTCTTAAGATGCAAAGTGGGTTGGGTCCTTACAACTTATTTTTATGGCTTTTGTCAACAAGAAGAAAAATAAAAAAGTGACAGAGAAAGTTTCTGTATATTTGTGACAGCTGTAATCTCTTATCTAATCATAATAAGCCAATGTCCTCATAAAATGATCAAGAATTATAATTATCTTTCTTACTGTAAGAAATCTTTCACAAATCTTCAGATTGCATGTATTCAGATGGCACTGTATGATTATAATTACAGTTATAGACTAGGAAATTGAAATGTATTCTCAAAAGAGAAGTTGAATATAATGTTCTATCTTTCCTGATACAGTTTGTAATGCTTCAGTATAGTTGATAAAACAAATTTGTAAAGAGACCTACTGCTTTATTTCCTCAGTAAATCAGTGAATATTTTTTAATCAGATTTCCTTGATGTTTCTAGATCCTATGCCAGGCAAATGCACGACATCATGTATTGGGCTGATTTTGCCATTGCAAGCAATGGGGTAGGCACGGCTTCCATGTAACGTGTCCGGCCCATGGGCCGGCAGTTTTACACCTCTGTCCTATGATTTTGGGGTAATCCCAGTTTTATAGGCTGTCTATGCTCAGGCCTGGGGTTAATCACTATCAAGCCAGTCTTATGTTGGTAATATTAAACCTACACTTAATAATGGATTATTTCCCTTGTACATTGAAGAAGAGTACAGTAGGGCTATGAGCACCTTTTTTGAAACTTTAGAAAACTTGTGATCCTTGGACATTCTTAGACCTAAGTCTGTCAGAGGATTGTATACAAGTCAGCTTTCTGTTAATGTTAACATCATTCAGAATCTCAGTCAGATTTATGGTTAGTGTTGCTCACAGATGTTTGGATAAAGATGTAGAAATGTCTTTATTCTCTTAATTCTACACAGGATGACCATGGTTATAGCTCCTTTGGGAAAATAAATTCCTCATTGCATAATAAAAGTACATGTCCAATTTGGGATATCTAAATGTGAAGGCATAATTGCGGACTATCCGAAATGGCTTTCTGTGGAAGCCACACAATGAAATAGACATTAGATTTGCCATTATTAGGATGGACTTTGATAGTTAGCATTTGTTTCCTCATCCTAAAGTTAAAAGAAGAAATTTAAAGAAAACATTTGCAGATAACAACATTCTCAATAATTACATTAGTAAGAACAATATACTTGTAATTGGTTCTGTATCGAAAACATTTAGATGTTGTTTGGATCTAAGATTTAGTTACTGAAAAAGAAAAAGGCAGAGATATTAATTTCTTAAGGCTCAGGCCTCTGTTTTCATAAATTTAATGTACAAGATACTTAGAACTATGAAATAAAGTAGTTCTCTTAAACTATCCTAACTTTTTTTTATTAGTGTTAAATATGAAATCAGATGTTAAAAATATGCAGTTCTAGGAATAAGGCACAATTCCAGTTCCAAAAGATTTCCATTCTGAAATGTTTTGAATAAATAAATGATATTCAAGAAATGCTAAGTGTTAGTATTAAACTGAAATGTCTAATTGATAACATGCATTTATATGTATTTATTAATATGAAATCAAAGAATGCCAGATAATGAACAAGTACATCCATAGCCCCTCCCAAATCCATTACTACTTCTTACAAAATATTTACCACAAACTTAAGGGAAGGGCAGCAACTCAAACTTGAGTAATTATCCCTAACCTCTCTAGATAAGATTTAAAAAAAAGGTTCTCAAATGCTGGAAAGCTGCTACTTGTTTTATTTGGGGGGAAAATCCAGTGTCCATGTAATGATCATTTTGATATTGATTAACATCTTTATAGTTCTGGATCTGAAAAAAACATCTTATTTTACATCAGTCTGATCTTGCAGCCTGGTTCATACACATATAATCCTTTTAACTGGGGCTTGGAAGAAGTTATTTTCAATGTCTATGTCTAAACATTGGTACTACAGGTAGTCCTCATTTAATGACTCTAATTGGGACCAGAATTTCCATCACTAAGGAATGTAGTTGTGAAGCAAAATATCACATGATTGCAATGCTCAGTGGTAGCCATTTTAGTAGTTGTGATTGTGATTATTAGGCCAGGATCTCAAACATCTCCTGCCATGCCACCTTCACCTCCATTTCAACTCTCCCACCCATCTTTCTCCTCCATCTCTGTCCTTTGGGCCTTTGTACTCTGCCAGCTGCCTCTCCGCTGCCCTGCATTTCACCACCTCTACATCTCTGCCTTGTACTCACAAATAGATATGAGTCCTGGATCCCATACCAAAGGCACATTAAAAACTGGAAAAAATTCATATGAGTGTTCTCTGTTCCATTCTTGGATTTATTGGCAAGACTGTCTTCAACCTGAGAGTCTTGGATCATGCAAAGTCCACCCACATTGAGTCCCTGATTATCAGAGCCCAGATGAGGTGGGTGAGACATGTCATTAGAATGGATGACCATCATATGCATCTTCTATTGCTCAATAGCAGGGGTGGGCAATTAATTTTTCAAGAGACACTGTGAAAGAAACCCTATGCCACTGTGAAATCCAGTCAAGAGAACTAGGAGCTGTGACTGCTGATAGAACTCATTGGCAAACCTTATGCTATGAAATCTCCACTGGCTTGAAGACAGGCACCTCAAAAAACTAATAGAAAATTTAATGCAGAGTCACAGAATAACACCCACAGTTACTACAACAATGGATTTTCAGTGCCCCATTGAGCTAGACTCTATGCCTCCAGACTGGGACTGCAGAACCACCTTCACGTCCACAGACAGCACATCTTCTTCAAAGTCAAGGATTTACCATATATAGTACAGGATGTAATTGACAAGTACCACTTTCAAATGCATTTTATCTACCCTCTCCATTTTGAGACTGACTTTAAATATTTAGCGATTTTTTAATTGTGTTGCTTTTTTCCTGATCACCTATTTTGATAACATATTTTTTGAGTTTTAGAGAAATTTTCTTTTGCATAGATATAGTCCTTTCAGCACCATCATAATTTTGAACAGTCACTGAAGGAATGGTATATCGAGAACTACCTGTATAGATGAAAAAAAAATTAAAAATTGGAAAAACTTAAGAGAATTCTAATTATATTTGACTGAAATACATTATAATATAGTATTTATTCACTTTTAATGTTACTTGGAATATTAAACAATTATTTTCTTTTTATCACTATCAACTTAATAGAGTTGAAGAGTGGTACAGTACATAATATTTTTCCTTAAAGAAAATTATGTTCAAGTACCTTTTTATTAATTTATTTACAAAATTTATTGGCAGCTTACAATTATATACACACATATATAGTATTGTGTAAAAGTGTTAGGAAAATGGGCAGAAATGGTTTAAATTAAGAATGCTTTCAGAAATAGAAGTGTTAATAGTTTATTTTTATTAACTAACAAAATGGAACATAAATGAACAGAAGAGAAATCCAAATGAAGTCAATATTTAGTAGCAGAGTTTGACTGTTTCTCACCCTGTTTTAAACCTATCACACACCTGTTTCTGTTTCAGTTAATGACTTGGTTTCAATCAACATATGAAATCGAGGATCACTTGCTTGGTATACTTGGTTAATCACACATTTAACTTTAATCCTACAAAATCCCTGACTTGTACAAGTGTAAGAATTGATGCTGTTTTGAAGGCAAAGGGTGGTTACACCAATTATTGATTTGCTTTGGATTTCTCTTCTGTTCTTTTAATTGCCATTTTATTATTAACACTTCTATTTTTGAAAGCATTCTTAATTTGCAGCATTTTTGCACAACTATAACACTTTTGTACAATACTCTGTAACACATGTTAATGCCAACTGTTAAAATCCAATTACAAATGGAGAGGGCAGGGGCAGGATGGGGGGGAGGTGAGATCTGTTTTTACTCAATCAATCATCTCCACTGAAATGCTTCCCACCCCATTGCCCCAAGTTAACTGGGAAAGCCAAGACTTTAGGTCTTTACAAAAGGTCAGGAGGATTTGGGCCAATCTCACTCCAGGAGGGGGGGTGCAAGATATTCAGAGGGCATCAGCAAAAAAAGTCCTTCTCATGGACCCTGCCAACTAGAATAATCAGGCCAATAGGACCCACAGCATGCCTCCTCTGTTTACAAAAAAATATACAATTGTTTTCATTTATTATTATTATTAATTATTATTATGAATATGGAATCATATTACAAAGTAATTTCAAAACCAACCATACTCCGTGAATATTTCTGTTATAGGAAACTGTGGAAGCATTTTTAAAACATCCTTCTGTGAGAGATGACTCAGATCTTGAGGGAAGAACTTCTTTTATGTGGGCAGCTGGTAAAGGTAGTAATGATGTCATCCAGATAATGTTAAAACTAAAACTGGTCACCGATATCAATGTGGCAGATAAATATGGTGGCACAGGTAAAAACTCTTTGTGTGTGCCTGTGTGTGTGCATATGTGTGTGTGTGTGTGTGTAGCTAGGATTTATGATTTACACTTAAGATTTACAATCATAACTTACACATACTAATTGCTCAATTCACCAGAGAGAGAAAGATAATAGTTTGTGCTGTTGTTTACTAAGGAATATAACTGCATAACTAGTATTTTGAGATAATTTAAAAGGAGAGAATAGTTGCTATAGAGCATCTAAGCTCTGAGACATTATTGTTCTTATTATCCACATTAGATTAGTTTATTCAGTTGTTTGTTTAATTATATGCATTTTTTAGTTTATTAATTTTCCAAAGACTCATCATGTATGACCTATGAGTAGAGAATCCAAGAAATGGAGTTTGAAGTTTCTGTATTATAAGCAATTGTTCACTTCTGCTTCTATTAAGTCATTAGCTTAGCATTTATCAGATATGCTTAATAGGGTTTTTAAGTACACTAACAAATTCCTCTGGAAATATTATCTTTTACAATCTTAAATGTGCAACATTTTAAATCATTTGCTTAGACAAAAAGAATATTTATACATTCTTACTTTTTCTCACTTTCTAGAGAACACCTTATTTAAGGATCACACAAAAGATTTATGACTTTACTATCCCTCATTTAATACTCCTGCCTAGCTCTGTATTTCACTAAAATAGTGTTACCAGATGCTAGAATCAGAGCTCTGATAAGAAAAGTTGACTTTTTTATGTCAAATTAATTTGTCAACTTTTTCTTTTCTAAATCTCTTTTGTTTCATTAGCATACATTAATGCTTCTCAAATCTAAGTAAATTATCTGGGTAGAAAAAAAATTGGGTAAAATTTTTATGATACACAAACTTATTACGCAATCACAATAATTTAAGTCATTATAAATTAACATAAAGTATTTTATTTATATTTGGTAAAAAGCTCTTTCTGATAAATTGTTCTGAGTAATGGAGGAAAAAGCTTGGTAAGCATTGGGCATAATATTAGGCATATGCATCATGCTATTTTTTTCAGGATTAAGTAATATTATACAAAATGCAAAAAAATGTATGAAAGAATTAAAATTAAGAATTAAGATAAAAAAACTAATTAAATCTAATTTATATCAACATCATTCATGATATCTTTCTGTATTTGCAAATCATTCTTACCTCTTAAAAGAACTGAAGCTGACAAGCTGGCAAGCTGAAAATCTCAGGCCATATAAAATCATTGAACAAACAAAGGGTACATGTTTTCTATTTTCAGGCTGGAAAAAAAAAGCTGAAAAGTCTGCTGTCAGAAAATGATAGAAAGTTAAAACATGAAGCCAAAATAGCTTCATGGATGGATGGAAGCCATCCATCCAGCCACCAATTCATTCCCATATACACAGATTTCTGTATTAGATTCCTGTGTTCTGTAGTTCTTCTCCATAAATATGACTTCAAGTATCTAATAAAGTTTTTATCTTACCATGCTGAGTTCTCAGAAGCTTTACTTTTAACTAGTTACTGGCAAGAATTGGGTGAGAGAGTCTGAAAAGTCTTGAATCAAGTAGTGTCTGCGTTAAAACTGACACATCCACCATCAATTATTAAAGTAATAAATGTAAAAATTATATTTTGTACCTTTTCCTTTTTTTGAGTATCTCATCATTTCCATCCAATCACAACTTCTCTCTCTCAGGTGTCACTTTTCATTTTGTAATTTAATACTGTACTCATTCTTTCTAGTTGACCAAACCATCCCAATCTCTCAATTGGTCTCTCAATTTTATATTCAGTCCATCTAATTTATCACCCGTTTGCTCTGGCCTCTTTCTCTCTTTTTCATACATGGACCTCTTAAGCAATTTATTCCCACTTAAGTTATTAATATTGTGGCACAATGGCTCTGGGCAAAATTAGAGAAGCAATTTCCCATTACTTTCTTCTTTGATTTGTTTTTCAAATTTCTAGTCTGTCTACAGACTTGGGATTTTCTAGTGCCCTGCGTTCCAAGTGTTTATTTTGGCAAGATTGACTATAGGTGCTGCCACCATCTGCTGGAAGAACTGAAGTTTTTTTAAAACTACCCCTTACCTTTTCATATCTTTATTTTAATGTATGTTGAATATCAGATTTGAATTCTGCTGTTATTTGAATTTATTTTCATTATTCTTTAACAAAGTTGCTGATTTCAAAAATAGTATCAGATTTTATTTAATCTAGATTTATATCACAGATCCTACATACATGTATCCAGTTTACATAAATTTTATATATAAATTTTATATATAAATTTTGTATGTGTTTGTGTGTGTGTGTGTGTGTGTAAATAGATGCAACTGAATGGAGCAAGCCTAAGACAATAACAAAACAAATAAATGGAGAGAGTGATGTCCAGCACACCTGCATGTAAATACCAATCCGTCATCTTGCTGTCTGGTTTAGGTTTTGTTATATTCACTATTTTAATTAAACACTATTTAATAACTGCATTCTTTTTGACATCTTTCAGCATTACATGCTGCTGCCCTTTCTGGCCATGTCAGCACTGTGCAATTGCTTCTAAAACATTATGCCCAGGTAGATTCTGCTGATGTAATGAAACACACTCCTCTTTTCCGGGCTTGTGAAATGGGACATAAGGAGGTAATACAGACACTCATTAAAGGTCAGCTCCATAAATTTCTTCATAAATATATGGCTGTCTTTAGCTTTTGACTTGAGCAAAGAGTAATGATAGTCAATATTGTGAAGGATTAGTTCATGACTGACATTGGAAAAGATAATATTTTAAACCAATCTTTTTCTAAAACATTTTAGATATATTTAAGGGGTCCTGTTCCTGAAAATTTAGAATTTTGAAGAAACTTTAAGCATGGCATAAGAATTAGTAACTTATCTTTGTAGTAGAAAATAGACTGATTAGGAATTCTCAGACATAGGAACAAATTCTGATTTTCAGTATTATAAGTATTCTATCTAATTTGGATTAGAATCTTTATTATAAATTAAAATGTAATAATTTAGATCATGGAGGGAATTTTTAGACTGCCAAATTTTCAGCTGACTGGTTTAAAACTTAATTATATATCATCTATTTTGCTATCAATCTTCATAGTCCTAAGCAATTTTGGGAAAACTCTTCATTATGCAACCTCTTTGAAGATTTTAGATATGTCTTAGAATTTATTCAGGCTAAGAAAATAATCAGAGAAAGGCATATTTAAATATAAAAATGAGACTAGTTTGATCATAAATCCCAACAGAAATATATGCAACATCCTAGATGACATGGCTAATTAAGTTAAGTCATTAATTTTACCATTTTAGAAAAGATTCTTTATACCCAGGTTTAACACAGCAGTTCTATATGGGAAGTGTAATAAGGGCTCTATAGTTTGCCAAATTGGTTAGTTTCTGAACTCTGAGTGTAATATCATTGTACCTTTATTATCAACCTATTTCTCAAACTGCAAATAGTTAATTCACTAGGTTCGAGGGAGGAACAGTGAAGGAAAAATAAATATAAAAATATGTATCATACCAGAACATGGCATGGTATGATACATATTATCAGGATGTTAATTTCTTATGTGGGAAGAAAGAAAGAAATTTGATTACAGAGGTGTATATGCCTTTGGTGTGCATGGAGAAAATATACTTCCATTGGGATAGCTTCAGTGACAATCTTCTGCACATACACACCTGAAAACGGCCATGCCAAACCTTTGAAAGTGGGACCTTGGCACTTTGAGTAAAGAAGTTAGAAGGAGTTATGCATTGCCTCAGCATACACTTTTTTAGTTTGTTAATAAACAACTGAGGCAGACTCCATGGATTGACATACATTATTGTTTCAGGAGGAGCAAGAGTTGATTTAGTTGATCAAGATGGCCACTCTCCCTTACACTGGGCAGCTCTAGGAGGAAACCCTGATGTTTGCCAAATATTGATAGAAAATAAAATCAATCCTAATGTACAGGATTATGCAGGAAGAACTCCACTGCAGTGTGCTGCTTATGGAGGCTATATTAATTGTATGGTGCTATTATTGGAAAATAATGCAGATCCAAATATCCAAGACAAAGAGGTATGTGTTGTTTTACTATATTGTTTATTATAAATAGTTCAGACATGCACACATTGCTGTTGGAATATATTGGTTGGATATCAAGCTTTATCCAAGCACCAAATTCCACTAGAAATTCATAGTGTAAAAATTGGGTATCATTTATATACCTATCATGCTTGGGGAATTTATATTAGAAAACAATTTCCCATTCATTAAATTGAATACTTTTTCCAAGGGAAATTGTAAGTGTTGTTGGACTTGTCCAAATAAGAAATCTGGCATGGAGTCATTGCAAATATTTAGGGCAAAAAACATTAATTTGAGCAATAGCCTGCCTCCTAATGTAAACTGTACATATATTCTTCTGTCTCCTGCCTAGATGATGATCTTAAAGGAGAGAAAATGTTAAAGACCTAATTCTGCTAACTTGCTATCCTTGTGCATATACCATGCACCTGATCCAAATGAGCTTCCCTTGCTGTTTTCTGTATTAGTTGGAGAAAAAGAGGAATACCCTGAAGAAACTGAGAATGAGTGAGGAGAAAAGCTGTGAGGGCTAGATAAGAATTCTTTGATATTATTCAATCAGTAAGGCCCATTAATTATTTTAGGATGATCCTACGCTGACTAACCAATTAGATAATCATGATTTGGATAATCATAACATGAATTGTCAAGAATTGAAGTAGTGAGTGCACTTTTGGGTGGTTATGTTGGCAATTTTGAGATCGAGCAAGTTTGGTGGGAAATGACGTGGGTTATTAGGGTGGAGGGTAAAGAATAATTCTCATCAGAAGATTCTAAGAAAAGGACTTGTAGAGGGATAATAAGGAATGCTGTGAACAGTAAATTTTGCCCTTCTCTAGAAACCACTGAAAAACCTGAAAAGAAAACAGAAAACAATAGAAAAAAGAATAAAAAGTGCAGGAGAAAAGAAGAAACAAGAAAAAGAAAGAAAATAATAAAGAAAAGGAAAAGAAATACGCAAAGAAGTAACTTCCAAACTTCATTGCAACAAAGAAATAGATATCTCTTCATCCCATATACCATCCTTTATCTATAAGCAAATCTATAAAACATCAACTTTTCAATCTCATTGTCAACAAAAGTCCATAAATTTGCAAACTTTGCAAAAAATATTTATTTTAATTTTGAACAAATAAACCAACTTTATATCACTTCCTTTTATTTCTAACAATCTTTAATTCAATCAGAGTGTCCTAGGATTTGCTTTCTCTTCAATTCTTTTTTACGTATCCTACAGATGTCTTCAAAGCTTTGACTAACCTCTGTTGTAGATGCAGTAATAAAACATTTTCCAGGTCATTCTCTTGGTTCATAATTTGTATTTTCCTTTTAATTTTTAAAATGTCATCCAGTTTCTGATGTATGTCCAGGAAAGTATGCTTTTCCGAATTGTTCTTTTGGCTTGTCATTTGTACTTCACTTTTGATATTTTCTCTGTCTTATTTCTGTTACTGTCATTCCATTAAGTAAGTCCATAAATTTGCAAACTTTGCAAAAAAATGTTTATTTTAATTTTGAACAAATAAACCAACTTTATATCACTTCCTTTTATTTCTAACAATCTTTAATTCAATCAGAGTGTCCTAGGATTTGCTTTCTCTTCAATTCTTTTTTAGGTATCCTACAGATGTCTTCAAAGCTTTGACTAACCTCTGTTGTAGATGCAGTAATAAAACATTTTCCAGGTCATTCTCTTGGTTCATAATTTGTATTTTCCTTTTAATTTTTAAAACTTCAGCCAGTTTCTGATGTATGTGCAGGAAAGTATGCTTTTCCGAATCGTTCTTTTGGCTTGTCATTTGTACTTCCACTTTTGGTATTTTCTCTGTCTAATTTCTATTACTGTCATTCCACAAACATTTTTAGACACTATCTATTATTGAAGTAGACATAATCTCTTGAAGTGTTGATATTGTAATTACTAATTTCTGACTCCATTCTTCAAAGATCTCCTTTAGTATTTCCAGTGTTACAATATTTTTGTTATTTTGTAAGTTCCTGTATTAATTGACATCAAGAACAAGATTGTATTTTTTTTCCTTTTTCTTAGAATCTTTAGCTCCTTCTAATGTCCAGTTTCAAAAATCATCATTTATCTTATAATAACCAGGATAGCCAAATTAAATCTGTTTACCACAAAAACCTGCTTATTTTATAATTAAAACTGAGGGGAAGGGTGACTAATCTCTAGAATCTCTAGAACACAAAACCAATCACAAGTCCCAAGAAAACAAATCAATGGTAGTGATGAGAAAAAAAAATTCAACGATCAGGAGATGCAGGAAACATACTCATAGACAGGCATAAAAGTCTTAAATGCTTATATACAAATGCTCAAAGCTTCAGGAACAAACAGGGGAACTAGAAGCAATACTACATGAGGGAAGGTATGACATAGTTGGCATAATAGAAACCTGGTGAGACGAAACCCATGAATGGAATGGACTGATGGATGAATACAAATTGTTCAAAAGAAACAGGTCTACAAAAAGAGGAGGGGGAGTTGTATTATATGTAAGAGAATACCACATAGCTGCAGAAATGCACGTGATCAAAGATAAAATCACTCCAGAATGTATATGGGTCAATATAAAAGAGAAAAAAAGTGACATTGCCATATGTAGGAAGCATACCACAGTAGTAATAGGAGACTTCAGCTATCCAGATATCAATTGGGAGACAAGCTCTTCAGGGAGTGGGAGATCAAACAGATTCCTAACCAACCTAGCCGACAACTTTGTCACCCAAAAGGTGGAGGCGAAAACTAGTTGTAAAGCTATACTTAATCCTTACAAACAGAAGCAGGACTTAATCCTTACAAACAGAAGAAGTGATAGAATTGAAATTGTCGGAAGCTTGTATGAAAGTGACCATGTCATACTGGAATTTAATATAATGCAAACGCTAGCAATAGAAAATAATCCAACCAGTGTCTTAAACTTCAAAAGAGCTGATTTTAACAAACTCAGAAAGAACCTAGGAAAGATCCCATGGATGAAAATCCTAAAAGGGAAAACAACCCAAGAAGCGTGGAGAATCCTGAAAAATGGATCATAAAAGCCCAGACCAGCACAATACCATTGAGAAAGAAAAACAAGAAATTCAAGAAGAAACCAGCATAGTTACGTAAAGATCTCTCTGACAAACTGAAAGCCAAAAAGGACAAATACAAAAAATGGAAAAAGGGCATATAACTAAGGCTAATTATCAACAGACAGCCAGAACATGCAAAGATGAAGTCAGGAAAGCAAAGGCTCAGAACGAACAAAGACTTGCAACAGAAATCAATGATAATAAAAAAATGTTTCTTCCAACATATTAACAACAAGAAAAAAAATCAAGGAAACTGTAGGCCTACCAAAGAGAGAAGATGGCAAGGAAATAATAGGCAACAGGGAGAAGGTAGAGCTGCTTAACTCATACTTTGCATCAGTCTTCACACAAAAAGAAACTATAGCCCAACATACCCAAAAAAAAACCTACTGCAAAAGACGTACTAGAAACAAAAATTGAAATAAGCAAGAAAATTGTAAGAGAGCACCTATCTGACCTTGAGGAGTATAAATCACTGGGACCTGACAGATTACATCCCAGAGTTCTGAAAGAGCTGGCAGATGTTATCTCAGAACCATTGCACCACATATTTCATAAATCCTGGAGCACAGGGGAAGTACCTGAGGATTGGAAAAGGGCTGATGTGGTTCCCATCTTCAAGAAAGGAAAAAAAAACGGATCTGTAGTAACAGACCAATCAGTTTAAGATCAATACCTGGGAAATTATTAGAAAAGATAATCAAAAAACAGATCTGCAAACACACTAGAAGCAAACAAAGTCATAACTAGTAGCCAGCACGGGTTTGTTAAAAACAGATCATACCAAACCAATCTTATTTCATTCTTCAATAAAGTGACTAAACTACTAGAGCTGGCTAACAAACTGTACTCAAAGAGTAGTCTTCAATGGCACTACATCCAGATGGAGAGAAGTAAGCAGCAGGGTACCACAAGGTTCCATCTTAGGCCCAGTACTCTTCAATATCTTCATAAATGACTTAGATGAGGGAATTGAAGGGGAACTCATCAAATTTGCAGATGACACTAAATTGGCACAAGTATCCAACACCCCAGAAGACAAATTCAGAATCCAAAAAGATCTTGACCAACTTGAACAATGGGCCCTATCCAACAAAATGAGTTTCAATGTGGAGAAAAGCAAAGATTTACATTTAAGTAGGAAAAATCAAAGGTACAAGTACAGTTTGAGAATAGAATAGAATAGAATAGAATAGAATAGAATAGAATAGAATAGAATAGAATAGAGCTGGAAGGGACCTTAGAGGTCTTCTACTCCAGCCCCCTGCTCAAGCAGGAGAACCTATACCATTTCAGACAAATGACTGTATAGCCTCTTAAAAATATTCAGTGATGGAGCACCCACGATTTCTGGAGGCAAGCTGTTCCACTGGTTGATTATCCTCACTGTCAGGAAGTTTCTCCTTGATTCCAGGTTGCTTCTCTTTTTGATCAGATTCCAACCATTCTTTCTCTTCCTTCCCTCTGGTGATCTAGTGAACAAAGTGACCCCTCTTCTTGGCTGCAGTATTTGGGCGAGACCTGGCTTAAAAATAGCAACTGTGAGAGGGACGTTGGAGTCCTAGTGACAATCACTTGACTATGAGCCAGAAGTGTGCAGCAGCAACCAAAAAAGCTAATACAATCCTGGGTTGTATAAGTAGAGGCATAGAATCAATATCACGCGATATACTAGTACCGCTTTATAAAACCCTAGTAAGACCACACCTGGAATACTGCAGCCAATTTTGGTCACCATATCACAAAAAAGATGTTGAGAGTTTGGAAAAAAATCAGAGAAGACAGTTTTGGGAGCACAATTCTATTAAGCTTCTTAGTATTCACAATACTGCAGCCCCCCTGCCAATATAAATGCCAGCCTGTGTTTGAGTTTGAATTCACACCTTTTATCAACCATGCATTTTAGCAGGTTTTCTTGGAACATAGAGATATAGCTTTATTCTTTGAAAAGATAGAACTGCAGGCCAATGGAATATAAATATGCTGGGAATCTCTCCAGCAGCTTTGACAAAGAGCTATATTTACCACAGAGATTGGAAAAGGTCCATGGAAAAGAGGTAGAGGATTTAGCTTATCGCATAAGAAATAGGTGAATATGTTAAGCAGTAACTGTGCTAAATTGAACTTAAGTAAAATATTCTTTAGCCATCGCAAGAATTCTGTATTCAGTGATAAGCATATATCATTCATATTTCAGAAAATGTAGAACATGTAGTATTTTCTTTCTTAAAATTGTACAGTCCTTATCATCATCGTCATCCTTTTGTAGTGAAAACCTCTTTCTTGCCCTTCCTTCCCATATTTACCCGATGAAGACTTTTCAAACTTATCATTCTGAAAGTCTCTAATAGCTTTAAGATAATTAATAGGTAATTTCTGAAATTGATTAGAAAATAAGGTTTGTGAATTCTGTGTGCTCTGCCACAATTGCTATGAAAATTGCTTATCTTGTTAATTCTCCTTGTTAGGAGCAGCTGTCTGAAGCACATGTAGGCAATCTCTCATCCTCTTCTTATCTAGAGACGTTCCAAGGAGCTGGCTACTTCTCATTGCTGCACTTTTGCGGATCTTCTTCAGTTCACCATAGCTCTCCCAGAAGTCCCAAATCTGGGTAGAACATAATGATGCACAAAATTTACCGCATTTTCCGGCGTATAAGACGACTTTCTAAACCCTGAAAATATTCTCAAAAGTCGGGGGTCATCTTATATGCTGGGTAGCTGTTCTCTGAATTTAAAACCAATCTTCCCCCTAGTGGCCAGCCCTATTTTTTTTTACAGAAATCAGCACTAACACAATGTTTCTCAACCTTGACAATTTTAAGGCATGTGGACTTCAACTCCCAGAATTCCACAGCCAGCAGGACAAAGCATTCAAAAATCCCATTTAAATTTTTAAATTTTTCTTTACAAATGTAAACCCAGCAAACATACTGTTTACCAACTATTAAGTGATTTATGTTTTAAAAAATCAATAAAATATATGGGGAAAAAAATACCAGCTGAGTTCAGGAAGCATTAGGGAAGCAGTGGTGGGCAACACTCGCTTTCTAATAGCAAAAGAATGGAGCTCCTATTGTGCTCATCTATAAACAGAAATTCAATATTGTACCGTATTTTCCAGCATATAAGACGACTTTCTAAACCCTGAAAATCTTCTCAAAAGTTGGGGGTCGTCTTATATGCTGTCGTCTTATACGCCAGAATATACGGTAAATATTATATATTTTTCTCTGTTTTCCCTGTAATTTCCCGTTAGTTTCTCCATTTAGAGGAAAATATAAAAATATTTTTAAAATTAGTATTCATAATTCATCATTACTGTGAGTTGTTTTTACTTTATTATTTTCTACACCTGTATGTGTTCAAAATAATGTAAAGAATGCATATAGTCTGATTATTTCTGTGTTTGAACTGGAATTTGGCAATATAAATTATTTTTTTACATGTTTTTGTTCTACTGACCATAGGGAAGGACAGCATTGCACTGGTTGTGTAACAATGGCTACCTTGATGCTATAAAGCTGTTGTTAGGATTCGGTGCCTTTCCCAATCACATGGAAAATAATGAAGAAAGGTACTGTTTATTAAATAATATCTTTGTTGACTTTCTCGGATTTCTTCTGGGAGAAAAAGGATGGGTCTCTTCACCTATGCATTGATTATAGATGTTTGAATGCAGTATCAGTGGAGAATATGTACCTCTTGCCCCTCATGAGAGACATAATGGCTCACCTGTCGAAAGGGGAAAATTTTCAAAGTTGGACCTGCGGGAGGCTTACTATTGGATCAGAATAATAGAAGGGGATGAATGGGAAACTGCTTTTAACTACCCGCTGGAGTGTTTCCAGTTCAGGGTGCTCCCCTTTGGACTACAGGGGGCACCAGCAGTGTTCATGCAACTGATTAATGAAGTCCTCCATGAACACGTGTATAAGGCGTTTTTGATGTACTTGGACAATATCTTGCTCTACACTGAGACAAAGGCAGAGCATGTGAAACTGGTTAGAATGGTCTTAAAAAATAACTCCGCTCTGCCAAACTATATGCCAATCTTTTGAAATGTGAATTTTATAAGGACAAAATTGACTATTTGGGCTATTGCATTTCACATGAGGGGGTAGAGATGGATCCAGAGAAGGTGTGGGCTGTCCTGGATTGGGCCCCTCCCCATACCAGGAAACAGATACAAAGTTTTCTGGGATTTGCCAATTTTTACAGACAATTTATCCTCTCATTCACACAGATTGCGCTCCCCATTTACACATTTGTTGAAAACTAAGGGAGAAAGTAAGCTGTAGCCTAGCCAGCTGTTAAAATGGACAGTAGAATGTCAAGCTGCATTCGAAAAACTTAAGAGACTTTTTTCCGTAGAGCCGATGCTGAGGCATGGAAAAACCATTTGTGATTCAAGCTGATGCTAGTGATATAGCTGTAGGTACGGTATTGCTTCAGAAAAACTAGAAGAGTCAATTGCAGCCCTGCGCTTACACATCCAAAAAATTAACTGAGACTGAACAGTGGTGGGCTGCTTGGGAGAAGGAAGCTTATGCAGTATGATGGACCCTCCTAACTTGGAGGCATTTTTAAGCATGTCCCCGCATAGCTCACCACTATTCCAATTGGGATTTCCCATCTAAACAGAAGCTGGCGTTTTTTAAGCTCATCTGCCAAAAAAGCAAAATCCTTCCTTCTTCTTAAAATTTTTGGAGGAATTTCTTTTAAAATTATAACATCTTGATCAGCAATCTGAAACCTCTGCTTATAAAATGCTTGTACTATTTCATTACGTAGAGATCTCCTTGCAAAATAAATCACCACATCTCTCGGTAAAATGAAATTCTTTAATTGACAAGATATAGAACTACTCTAATTAACCTACACTTAATTCAAATTTACTGTTAACTAATATTAACCATAATGAAGTAATAGCAAAGGCACTTGGACTTATATACCACTCCATAGTGCTTTACAGCACCCTGGACAGTTTACAATATCAGCATATTTCCCCCAACAATCTAGGTCCTCATTTTATTAACTTCTAAAAATGGAAGGCTGAGTTAAACTCTAGCCCATCAGGATAGAACTCTAGGCTGAGGGCAAAGTTAACCTGCAATGCTTCATTCTAACTACTATGTCATCAGGGCTTTTTATATTTAATGCATATTTCTGCATTTAATGAATTAAATGCAGTAAATAACTGCATTTACTGCAGTAACTCCTTTTTGTCATCCTATTTCTAGAATGAATGTAAGATGGTGGATACTGAATTCATTAAATATTGTTTATTGTACTTTCTTTGCTATTTGGTCAGTTCTATTACAATATTCTATTATTTTTAGATATACACCACTTGATTTTGCCCTGCTGGGAGGTCATCATGAAGTAATTCAGTTCATGTTGGAACACGGTGCATTATCTATAGCTGCCATTCAAGATATTGCAGCTGTCAAAATTCAGGCAGTCTACAAAGGATACAGAGTTAGAAAAGCTTTTCAAGATAGGAAAAACCTTCTAATGAAGCATGATCAGTTGAGGAAAGATGCTGCTGCCAAGTAAGTATGATATACAAGCAAAAACCTCAAATATCTTTTAATATGTTTTAATGTGTAAATTCCTGCATATCTGAATGTATGAAGGTGTGTGCACACACACATACATGCATACATACCCACTTACACACCAAATGCTTATGAGTAAGCTTTATACTTCTAAATGGTTTCTTCTAAATTCTCTGGTAAACTAGTTACTGCTACAGACAAAAATAAAAAGTAAAATATTAATCATGCAGTTATGTCTTGGGGAAGCAAGAAAGAGGGAGGGGGAGGGAGGCAGGCAGGCAAATCTGAAGAAGAAAGTGGTGATCCACAGCAACATTGTGGCACATGGGGGCAATCAATTCTTTCAATATTAATTGCTTTTTGCCCATCCTTAAGTCAATAGAAAGCTATTCTGTCATGTCCTTGCTGCCAATTCTTCTCCTATGTCTGTTTCAATCCTCTGATTTTCCTCCAAGATAATACATGACAGACCTTAACAGAGTTTACACAACATTGCCTTTGGATATTGTGGGAATAATGGAAAAACACCACTGTTAACATAATATAGCTAAAAACAGGTTAAACAACATAATGGGATCACAATTGAAAAAAGAAAGTCTGTTGTTTTAATAATAATAAAAAATAATAATCACAATTTCCCTATGTTTTTTCCTCTTTTTCTGTTAATATCTCTGTAATATTTTTCTTATGCATAAGAAAGCAGCTTTTGGATTTTCTTTTCTTTTTATAAATATTTTATTAATTTTCTAGTTTAACAATCAAATACTTAATAGACAACATGTTGTCTGGGTCCAATAGTAATTCAGTAGTATATATTAACTTTTTCAATGTAGATCCAATATTACACCATCAAATATTTCCTCTCTTCTTTCGGTAGTACCTGTTTTCCCACACTAGGCAAATACAATTCTCACTGTTATTAATAAATATAAAATTGAATATCAACATCTTTGTTACATTTTTCTCATAATATCAATGTCAGTTTTAGATAACTTTTCTAACCAAAACATATCTTAATTGCATTTGCACTTAATATCCATATGTTCAATCAGTATCCAGTTTTCGCTTTTTTTAAAAAAAATTAATTTCCCATCAGTGTTCAAAATGTCTCTATTGTTTATAATTTCAAAGTAAGTTATATTTGGGTAACCAAAAGCTTCTCTTATTCAAACTTCTTAGCCTTTTCCTGGTTCTCTTCTCATATCAAAATCTAATATTCTAATTACAAATTTTATCTTTCTAGTTATTATAGTATTTCTATTTCTAACATTTACCTATTCTCCCTCTTTCTCTCACTTTCCTCTCTTTCTCTATTTCTTCTCTCCTTCTCTTTCCTCTCGCTCTCTTCTCTCTTTCCTCTTTCTCTTTCTCTCTTTCCTCTTTCTCTTTCTCTCTTTCCTCCCTTTCTCTTTCTCTCCTCTCTTTTCCTGTTTCTCTCTTTCCTCTCTCTCTTTCTCTTTCCTCATTCTCTCTTTTCTCTCTCTTTCCTCTCTCTCTTTCTCTTTCCTCTTTCTCTCTTTTCTCTCTCTTTCCTCTCTTTTTCTCTTTCCTCTTCCCCTCTTTCTCTCTTTTTCTCTCTTTCCTCTCTCTTTCTCTCTTTCTCTTTCCTCTCTCTCTCCTCTCTTTCTCTTTCTCTCTCCTCTTTCTCTCTTTCCTCTCTCTTCTCTCTCTTCCTCTTTGCTCTCTCTTTCCCTCTTTCCTCTCTTTTTCTCTTTCCTCTCCCCCTCTTTCTCTCTTTCCTCTCTCTCTCTCTCTTTCCTCTCTCTTTTCCTCTCCTTCTCTCTCTTTCCTCTCTCTCTTTCTCTTTCTCTCTTACGGCAGCATTGTCGGGGGTCCCCATCACCCCCGGTCCGGCCTCTGCTGCATCCTCAGCCGAATGGGTGGGGAGGGGGAGCAGGATGGGAAGCGGTGATGGCGGTGGCATGGCTGCATGGGGGAGGTCCCCGCCGCCCCCAGCCTGGCCCCCGCCCCTGCCGGGACTCCACACTTGCCTGGCCTTGCCCTTCGCCCATCGATGGAGCTGCAGTGGGAACAACGCCCGCCCGAGCTGCCTGGGAGGCAGCAGGCAGAAAAAGGAGAGGAGGAGAATGAGGAAGCAGCTGCCCCAGCCGGGACTCCACATTGCCCGGCCTTGCCCTCCACCCATTGATGGATCCACAGTGGGGGCTGGTGCTGTGCAGCCCCTGCGAGCCCCTCCGCCAGCCCGGCTGCTCCTCTCCAGGCACCCCTCTTGTGCCAGCACCCACCCGAGCTGCCTGGGGGACAGGAGAAGGAAGAGGAGGGCAAGGAAGCCACCACCAGCGCCGGGCCCCAGGAGGAGGCTCTCCTCTCCTACCATTGCTGCATCTCCTTCTTCCTTCTCGGCAGCCTGGATTCTGGCATGCCTTCCTGGCCAGCGGGGCCAATGGTCGGGCTGACTGGGGATCGCAGGGGCTGTTCTCCCTTAGGCCACAGCTTGTGGTAGGGCTGGTCCACTCAGCGGAGCCTCCAGCGGGCCGCTTCCAGTAGGGATCCCGGGCTTCCCTGGGTGGCTCCAAGGCCACAAGGCCTGGCTGCGCTTCTCCCAGTGGGTTCAGCACCCGGGCGCAGGGCCAATCAGGAGCTCTGCAGGAGGTAAGATAAGTCCGAGAGAGAGAGAGAGAGAGAGAGAGAGAGAGAGAGAGAGAGAGAGAGAGAGAGAGAGAGGAAAGCGAAAGCACCTCTCTGTCTCTCTCCCTGCAAATGGCGGAGGAGGCCATGCGGAGACGGATGTGGAGCAGTGTCTCAGTTCCTAAGACCATCGGAAATATGTGTTTTCTGATAGTCTTAGGCAACCCCTGTGAAAGGGTCGTTCGACCCCCAAAGTGGTCACGATCCACAGGTTGAGAACTGCTGGCTTAGATATTCTTGTGGCTTACGGCTGGTGCAGCTAAGTGATTGGCCATTTTACTGACCGATCTTTACTCCGTTGGCCCAAAGGAGCTCGCTTGACAGCAGATGGCACAGCCACCCCTCTGCAGTCAAACAGGCAGCCTTCTCAACAGTGATTGCCCCTCCAGGGCAACTTTCGACCCAATCAAGGGTCTACCGGTGGGGGAAACTCAGCCGGCAAAGAGAGAAGCCTCTCTACACGACCGCAGCGCTGCTTTCTTTCTTTACCTTTAGTCCTTTTATCTCTCCATTAATTCTAATTTGGGTTAGCAGCACTTCTAACGTCAAGATAAAAAGAAGAGGTGACATTGGACATCCCTGTCTTACTCCTTTATTTCTTTCAAATTTCTCTGTATTATCCCCATTGATTATCACTCTAACCTTTTGTGTCATATATATCGCCTTTATTGTTTTCTCAAACTTCCCTCCAAATCTCATATCTTTGATCTGTTGGAACAAAAACTGCCAATTAAGATTATCGAATGCTTTCTGGGCGTCCAAAAACATTAATGCCACCTGTTTTTCAGGATGTGCCTCATAGTACTCTAAGACATTTAACATGTCTTGAATGTATTATTTCATTTAATATTAATCTAAATCTTTCCGCAACTATAGTAATAAAAATTTTATAATCTGTATTTAGCAATGAGATTGGCCTGTAATTTTTTATCTGTTTGGGGTCTGTATCTTCTTTTGGAATAAGGGATATATAAGCCTCTGTCCAGGAGTCTGGTAATTTAGCTTTCTCCAATACATCATTATACACATTTAGTAATATCATTTCAAAATCCTCATAGAAGCTCTAGAAGTCCATCCGGCCCCGGAGTTTTGTTACTTTTTTGTTTTTGCACTGCTCTTCTTAATCCCGGTAAACCATTAACCCTTAAATATTGTTTTATATTCTTTTCATCTATTTCTTCTTTTTTATATAATACCTCAAAGTAGTTCTGGATTATTTTTTTCTTTTTATCCATTTTATACTGTAACTCTCCATTCTCATCTTGTAATTCCTGAATCAATCTTTTTTCTCTATCTTTTTTTAATTTATAGGCAAGCCACCTCTCTGGTTTGTTTGCATGTTCAAAAAAAATTTGTTTTGCCGCTTTCAGTTCCCTTGCCATTTCCTCTTGCTCCACCATATTTAATTTATGTTTAGCCAAAACCATTTCCCCTTTAATTTTTTCATTCTGGGGCTCCCTTTGTAATTTAAATTCTAACTTTTAAATCTCCTCCTGAAGTATATTTTGCGTTTTCCTTTTCTCCTTATTCTTTTTTGCTATATAAGCTATCGCTATACCTCTTAGATATGCTTTAGCCGTATCCCATATAAATTGTAATGATGTTTGTTGCTTTGTATTTTGTTTAAAAAATAATTCCATTTCTTTTCTAATCCTTGAAATAAATTCTTTTTCCTTTAAAATTTGAGAATTCAGTGTCTACCTTCTCCTAACTTTTTTCTGTCCTTTCCAAGTTATTTTCAAGGGATTATGGTCAGCCCACATATTTGGCATTATTTCTATTACTTCTATATCTTTTCCTACCTCTCCATTCATCCATGCCATAGCTCAGGGCTTTTCAACCAGTGGTATGGGTACCACCTGTGGTACATTGTCACCTTGCAGGTGGTACGCGGCCATCCCACAAAAGTGGTAACGGGGGAGGGGAACGAGCTGAACTGGTGGCAGCACCGCACAAGTCTGAGCGAGAGATGGCTGGAGCTGCAGGGCTGTCAGGGCTCAGTGGAAGCACCAGGATCAGTGCTTCTTCGGAACTGTTGGCTCAGTGGAAGCATCAGGATCAGCGCCAGGCTCCAGCTGGAGCTCAGCACTGATTCTGGCACTTCTGCTGAGTCCAGAAGAAGCACTGATCAGCTGGAATGTTACAGCCTCTCCAGGGTCTTGTGATTTACATTCAGATGCTTGGCAACTGATTCATATTTATGATGGTCACAGTGTCCCCAGGTCATGTGAAGTGACCAAAACCTGCTGCAGCCACCCAGCAGACAGGGGGAAATAAAAACCAAACACCCCCCACCCCACCCCCACTGCCAATCCTCAACAGAAATGCTCACAACAATGAAAACC